ATAGAATAGTGTGTGGGATAAATAGGGAGAAAAGAATCAGATTATGCTACCCAAGGGCACAGGTGGAGGATACAACTGACAGAGCAAGAGATATAACAAAGGGAGCTGGCAGAGATGCAGTTTTTGTAGTACATGTAGGGACTAATGATGTAGGGAAAGAGAGATCAGAGGAGCTAATTAATAAGAATAAGGGGTTGATAAAGGCACTTAAAGAAAATGTCCATAACTTAATTTTGTCAGGGATACTGCCCAAAATTAACTGAGGATAAAGTCATAAATAGGTCATTAGGGCTAAATGCTATGCTTAGGTTAGTATGTAAGGATGAGCAGATTGGCTGGTTGGACTTGTGGGATCAATTCAGAGGGAGAAGGGAGCTTTTTGCAATGGATAGTTTGCATTTTAATAGAGTATACGCTGGCTTGTTTGCTAAGGCTATTAACTCAGCTGTAAGGGAAGTTTTAAACTAGGACTAGGCAGTGGTGAGAGCCAGGAAAAACTGAATGCAAAAAGAATAAGAGGCAGAGAAAAGTTTACCACAAGAAATGAGTAAAGAAGTAGTTATAGGGATAGGCTTAATTGTTACTATTGTAATGCTAGAAGAAATAAAATAGATGACGTTAGAGCACTGGTAGGAATGGAGAATTTTGATATAATGGGAATAACTGAAACATGGTTAAACATAGATGACTTTGATGACAGACATTTTTTTGAAATACAGGGTTACAGGCTATTTAATAGGGATAGAGTATTAAAGAATGGAGGAGAAGTGGCTTTATATGTAAAATGCAAGTTACATCCTGTTGAAGTTGAGGATATCAAAGATAATAACAAAGAAATTGAATCCATTTGGGTTTCTATTAGTGGATACAAAGAGAAAAGGCTTTTAGTGGGAATTTGTTACAGACCACCAAATGATACTGATGAAATTAGTGAGAAACTTTACAATGAGATTAAGATTTCAGCTGTTAATGAAGTCATAATTATGGGTGATTTTAATTTCAGGCATATAGATTGGAAAATATTAGAATCAAACCATGAGGGAGAAAAGTTTTTGGAAACTGTTCATGATGGCTTTCTTCACTAATTAGTCTAGGAACCAACTAGAAACAATACTATTTTAGACTTATTGTTAACTTCAAATATAGAAATGGTTGAGAGAGTGGAAATTGATGAACATCTGGGTGCAAGTGATCATTGCTCTATTACGTTCAATGTTTTACTGCATACGGAGATAAGGAATAATGATATTTTGGTTACAAATTTCAAAAAAGCAAATTTTGAAGGAATGTGACAAGAATTATCTGTTGTGAATTGGGCAGCTGAGTTATTTGGAGACACTGATCAGATGTGCAAAATTTTTAAATATTCAATGTAAATATTCTTAATAGAAAGAAAATGTAGCTACAAGAAAAAAAAACCAGGTTGGCTCACAAAGAGTTTAAGAAACAAAATTAAAGAAAAGCATCATAAATTTAAATTGACAGGTATGACCAGGAGACTTAAAAGATTATAGAAGATCAAGAAAGTTGGTGAAACAGGAAATTAGGACAGCAGAAATGATGTATGAGAAAAAGTTGGCTGAAAATGTAAAAATTAACAGTAAGGATTTCTTTAAATACATTAAGGGGAAACAAAATATTATGATAGGGATAGGATCCTTGAGGGATGATAAAGAAAAGCAAGTATCTGATGATTATGAGATGGCTGGGTTATTAAATTTTACTTTTTCCTCGGTTTTTACTAATGAAGATTTAAGCAGTATTCCAATCTTGATCAGTTGATAAATGGAAGCAAGATCAAACAAGATGACTGCATTAATTCTGAGCTGGTTAGGAAAAAATTGGGAAGTTTAAAAAATTATATGGCTCCTGGGCCAGATAATATTTCCCCAAGGATTTTAGAGGAAGTTAAAGATTGGATATGTGAGCCACTACCTACTATTTTTTTTTTCAGCCCTATGAATAGTGGGCAGGTACCAGAGGATTGGAAGTTAGCTAATGTAACTCCTCTTTTCAAAGGAGGTGATAAAAATTGTCCCAGTAATAATAGACCCAATAAACCATACCCTTAGAACAAGAATGAGATGTACTCCTATAAAAAGAATTCACTACATCCCTACCGCATGAACAAGCCATATTTCTAAAGCACAACCAAGCCATCTCTATAACAAGATCAAGTTATACTTCTAGAGTAAGAAAATGGTGTCTAGTTTTGCTCACAAATTGTAAACATTTTCTGCATCTATGCAACATCAGTGTGTTTATGAAATTTTCTTATCTATTCATTGACTAACTTTCTCCATACCATCAAGTTTCATTTATGGTCATATACATTACTTTATGGCAAGATAAAACTATTTTAACTAAAAGCTTGCATAAAATTTTTTATAACTAAAGCAGCTAATAACTACAAACTATTTCACATTGAAATATTAATTACCTCAAGTTCTTTGATGATAGTTGCTGCATCGCTTGTAACAAAGAGCTTTTCTAAGTGATTAATGATCATCTTGTTCATTCCTGGAAATCATAAAAATAAGAAAACATCTAATTAAGTGGTATGAGACAAGTTAATTTTTGGCTCAGATGTGCAATTCTTTTTATTACAACATCAAGCACTAACCAATCAAAATTAACTGTCTCTTATTCATATTATCATTGGTGCAGTGCAAGTGTATTACGAGTGTTATGCTACTTCAAATAACTCAGGCCTGCGATGGTATTATTGTCTTGAAATGTTTATATGTTCTACAGTAATTCCTGTAAGCTGAATCAGAAAATGATATCCATTTTTCTCCATCACGTACAGATTTTTCACAAAATGTCATATGTATTTTTACATAAGTGAATCATTTTCATTGAAATTGGGCCACATTTGTTTATGCTTAAAATGTTGACAACCACTGGCTATAGATTTCTCTAGACCAATCATGATACAAGTCTTATTGATCGTTCTAGAACCCAAACATAATAATAAAAAATGTTCATTGTGGTCAACGAAATAATAATTTGATCTAAATAAGATTTTTTTCTTCTTCCAGATTTGTAAAAAATCTTTATGTGTTAGAAAAAAAATGAATATTAATTTTAAAAACTTCATAGCTGAATTATGGAAAGTCCATTATTAAAACCAAAACAACTTAAGGTTAAAATCACAGGCACTGTGTAAATAAATCAAACATTATATACTGGTGGTAGATGTATAACATACAGACAACTGTTATTCATCAATTAAGAAATATTTTGCATATATTATGTAACGATGTTCTTCCAAAGTTCCCACTGAATACAGATGTTAACATGTTTTAACATCTGTTTTAAGATTTCATAGTGCACAACAAAAGCAGTCTTATATTTTTTTAGAGCTTTATGCTAATATTTCCCTTATTTATTTCTGTGTTTAAATATGAGCTCTGTCCTTGTCATATTTTACTACAGCTAAATTTAAATACTCTCATGTTACACTGAAATAAACATTTAGCAGTTGAACTATGAAGCATAAAAAAAACAGTGATGACTCCTAATCTCTTGGTTAAAAATTTATTTTTTAACTAGCACTACCTGCAAAACATTTGTAGTAGTTTTCATGCCTTTGCTTGAATTTTCCTTATTCTATTATTTTCATGTATGGCATTTAAGCTATGCATTCTTGCAAGCATTAGATCAGTAAATCCTGGTCTATTTAAATAAATTTTAGGTGGCCAGACAAATAAACTCGCGTAGACTTCATTTGATAAAACTACATGTGAAGTAAACCATAAAGTATAGTTATTGTATTCATAATAGTGTACAGAGTATGATACATTTACAAGCATTTATGAACTGAAACAAAGAAACTCACAAAAACAAAGAACAAAACCCATCCTAAAGAATAGTTAAAATGTGTATATAGCAGTCTATGAAACAAACAAGCAAAATTATTGCAAACTAAAGTAAATGTAAAGTTATAATGAAGGCAAACTTAGCTGAATATGCAGAAACATCTGAATGTGTGTTCACAATGTAACAAGCATATAGGTTTGAATGAACTAAGTACGTCGAGAAAGCTCATAGCAATTGTATTTAGTGTAATGTTAATTTTTTAAGAAATGTCATGTGGGTTAAGTGTTTTTGATGAGAATATACTTTGTAAATAAAAACTAAAGTTGAAATTGAAGCCAGTTGTCAGGTGATAATGCCATTGTGTAGCATACTCCTTCCATTAAAAAGTTTGACTAAGCAAAAAACAACTAAGGTGTTCTGAATGGAAAAGCCAATATGCAATCTAGACTCCTCAGATAAAGACCTTTCTAATGATCCGAGATTTGTTGTTCTGATGGAGAAATTTGTGAGAAAAGTTCTGGACAGACAAATACAAGCATATTATTTATATTATAGATAATATTCTCTAAACAGTGATTTGCTTTTTTCTAATATACAAATTTTGTAATGGTCTATCAAGTTGAACATTTAAAGCTATGTTAATCAATACAAAAAAATGAGCACCAAAACATTATATTAGGGAACAAAAGTATCAAATACTCATTGTCAATACCATAAAATCAAAAATCAGTCACGTAACAGTCTAACTGCTAATGTGAATAAAAGGTTTCAAACAATTTACCAAATTAATTTTCTGTTTCTAAACTTACACCACCAACAAATCAATTATTCCACTTTGAAGGCTAAAGTGATAAACATTAAACTAAAAGATAAGGTTAGCAAAAAATCCAACAAAATAAAAATTCTGGTTTACTATATGCTTTTAGCAGTTTCATAAAACTTTCTTCTTCACAAGGAGTAATTATTCCTTTTATTTAAAAGGGGAGTAACTTAGTCATAATTAAACAATATTTAATGTGAAAAGTATTAAAAATATATGAAATGACAAACCATCACACAGAAATAAAACAAACATTTAAGTCGCAAAGCAATTTCTACAACAAAATAGAACTGCTACATCAGGCAATAGTGGATGGTCATGCAACAAGTTTAAAAGAATGGCCATGCCTTAGTCCTTCTTTCCCAGCTTAATGAAAAGTATTAGTAATTCTTATTGTCCACTATAAAAAGTGTTTAATCAAACATATTTTCATCTAACCTGCTAAAGGTAAAAAAATATATATGAAATCACGAATGACATATACATTTATAACACAATAAAATTCTGTGAAACTTGAGAATTATAGGAACACAAGTGTTAGGAAGCATAGCAGAAAAATCTAAAAAGAGGAAAAACATGAGATATTGGTTTTTGAGGTTCTACATGCAACACGTATTGCCAGTATTTTACAGAAGTGCAACATTTTCAGTACAGTCATGATGCATAACAGAATTCCCATCAATAATGTCAAAATTACCACACACAAGGCAACCTTTTGTGCAACATACCATATTTTCCTCTGTACTATAAGTAAGGTCAAAACTTTTTCTCATAAGGACCTTTGACATACTGAAAAAATCTCACAAAACCCTTCAGATTTACAGATAAAAGACACTTTTCAACTAAATTTCTTTATCTATATATATATATTCTTATAAATGCCTGAATTGTGATTAGGAGACTCATAAAAAAAAAGTTAATAAGCATTGGGGGGGGGGGACTCAAACTGATTTAAAATTTTTGTCAACCTCAACCTTTCAAAAAAGTGAAAGTAATAATACTGTAGGTAAATTACAATTTAGCCATAAACAAAATGAAGAGTTTGGCTTCAAGAAATCATTGATTTTCAAACTTTATTTGGCTGTCTTGATCCAAGGGTTAACTTTGATGGTCATTATGTTTGCTTTAAACAAACTCTACTACTCATAATCAAGCTTTAATTGGCTCAGTTGACTGTTTTGATGTGAAAGAATAACCTTGATGGACATTCTTTACAAAGCATAGCTATTTCTTCAAAACAATACAAGTATCTAAACGTAGGCACTTAAAATATATTAAAAAACAAAAATTTACAAATGACAATGAAATTGAATAAGAATTTCAACCATGAATCATCTCCATTATGTAAATTTTTATTAAATCTTACCTCTGGGCCCATAAGCACTTCGGACAGTCCGAGTTAGCTGTTTGCATGCCTCAATATTTCGGAACACTGCTTCTTCCAAGCCATGGAAGTGCTAAAAAAATAATTATGTTAAAAGAAAAAATTAAATTAAAACTTGTCTGATATCTTTCAAATTTATCAACTTCAATGAAATTCACAAGGTTGAGAATGACTACTATAGCCTAGTAGATAACTGAAAAATTACTCCTTTTGTGAAACAAGCATAAACTTTGGCAGGTGGTACTTTACACAACTGCTTTCAATGAAAAACACCTAATTCAGACTAGAAACACAAAGTATATATATAAAAAATTATAAGCCATAATATTAGGTTCTTCCATCAAATATCTGATGTTTCCAACAGTGACACCCTGCTGATCTAGAAAGTGTTAAGATGCACCTTACTTTTTAATGAATCTCCCATTTTTATGCATCCTGTGAAAGCAGAATGAATTTTTTACTATCCAATTAATGTATTTGGAACCCTGAATGAAAAGAGATATTTTTTCTTTAAGTTTAACACACTAAGTCCTTTTGTTCTTGGTCAGACCATCTTTGTAGGTTGAAAAATGTGATGTGACATTTTGTGGCCACTACTGAAGTCGGAACATATTTATATGTATTGAAATGGAAGACCATATTTCTGCTTGTTGTATTTTATTAAGTCTTTCTAAAAGGATAGAAGCATTTCTATTGGGTTAGATATCATTGAGATTTGATCCTGCTAGATTCCCAAGTCTTCTTGAGGTGCATTAACTATTCATCTAGAGACTCCCTTATTAATATTAGAACAATAGAGACCTACATCTCTGCCCTAGGACTACCTTTTACAATGTTATTATTATTTTATTTTTTGTAGGTTCCATATAAAACTCAGCCATCCCTTCAATAGTAAAAAAAAAAACATCTATACGTTTTAAACAAAATATGTTTATTTTAAATGTACACTTATCTGAATGGCTAGGACATATTTTCATGTTAGAAAATAAGTGCTAAATTAAGCTTATTTTAAAAAACAGGTTCATAAGGCTGTTACATGATACTGATATTGATAAAACAGGTGATAAGTATTCTCAATTATTCATTTCAAAACTAAAATTAACAATTATATTCCTGTGAAAAAACGTGCCAAGCCTTTCACGTAAGTGTATATAGTTAGCTTAATGTATTTTGTTGGAAATGTCTGGGTATTAGTTTATAGTATTGATATACAAAATCGACAAAAATCGGCACAGTGAACTGCGAGGCGGAGACTACTTGATTAGTACTACTTGTTTAAATATTATACTTATATAGAGTTGTTAAATTATCTGTGTAATTTGTAATAAACGTTAACTGAATCTTAAGTAAGACTAATACTTCGTTATGAGTAAGTTATAAAACACTGATACTGTCAGGGTTAATGTTACTGTAACTAACAGTAACGGTGTTACTGTTAGTGGCTGTCAATTTCTACTTCTCAAACTGTGCTAATTTTGAGTTGTGATAAGACAGTTATTTAACATGAAGTAATATTTTATTAAAGAAATGGCGGTTTCCCATTATAATGCTTCTTGGCATTACATTTTAAAAACAATTTGGATCTAAAGAAACTTACCCGTGCTCCTTCTTTTAACATCTGCGAAAATCCCGGAGCTTTTGGTACATGCATCGCCATTTTCTCACTAATAATTTCAACTCCAAGTTACTAGAACAATCTACCCAAACCTCGTGTTTTGTAGCCTACTCACAAGAGTGATATTTTTGATGAATAACGCCACAACAGAGACGTCTATTCAAAGTATTTTTAACACAAAATGAATGGATAAATAAATATTTAGAAAAAATAATACATTTAATATATTCATAGATTACTAGTTTTTATCAGGATAAACTCTTGTTCTTAACAGTCGAATATAATTTTATTTAAGTTTTCTACTCTAATAAAATCAAAGCCCACATTGTGTCTTTTATGTGAGTAAAATCTTGCAGCTATAATAAGCAAAATATACTAAAGAGACCATGTGATAATCAAAACATTAAATTTTACTTTATCCTACTATCTTCACAATGATGTTTACTTTACTTCGAACTATTGAAGTTCATATTCTTTTTATATTCTCACAATTTGAAGATGCAGTGGTAATACGTCATCATTTATTTAAGAGGTGGTTTTCTTAACTTAATGGCCCCTAGTGGCACAGCGGTATGTCTGCGGACTTACAACGCTAGAAACCGAGTTTCGATACTCGTGGTGGGTAGAGCACAGATAGCCCATTGTGTAGCTTTGTGTATAACTACAAACAAACAAACAAACTTAACTTAATGGCCAAAGATTCTAGCATTCAAAGTTGGAATTCTTCTCGGAAATGGTGGATGACAATTGGCTTCACTAAACTGTAGGGTTGTGTACTAAGTTTATTGATTTTAGTGTAAAGCCACATTAAACTATTTACTCTGTCTACCCTGGGAAATTGAACCTCGAGTTGTAGTTTTGTACGTTCGTAAACTTGCTGCAGACCAACCGGGGGAAAATGTACTGAGATATAAAAAATTGTCTTCTGAGAACTGGACCTTGTCGTTCTATAATTTTAATTACCAGTTCAAATTTCTTAATTATGTTTTTTTTTTTTTGTAGATAGTCTCGTCAGTTAGGGTATTGTAAAAGTATTTTTGGTAGTATTTTTTGAAAACTGTCTTCTTTCTTTTTGGTTTCTCTGTGTTTTTTCATGTTGGAGGCGTGATGTTAATTCTTTTTCTGTCATAGTCCATGAAAACTTTCGACATAAAAAAGATGGATATCTGTTGTTCAAAAGGAATGATTTTAGTTAAGAGCGTATAATGTTTTGATCAGTGCAACTGCGATCGATTCTATGTAGTTATCCAGAAATTGCACCTTTCTTGGAAGCGTTTCTATGATGAGAGTTGAAGTGAAGAAAAGAAAGTTTTTTTATTGGTTTATGAAACAAGGTAGATTTTATATTATTGTCCTTTTCGGCTATCAAGGTATCGTCAAGAAAATCTCTACTTCTGTTGTTATTCGAATGATTATGGGTGAATTGGATACTGGTGTTTATGAAATTAAGAAAGTCTAGAAATGTGATTAAAGAATCAAGATCATGGTTCCATAATCCTAATATGTCATCGATTTATTCAAACCAGAGATCGGGACCTGTGTTGGCACCTTGACGTCACTTTTTAAGTACCCTTGTTTCAGAAATGTGCATAAATATTACGGCATAAATTACAGCTGCTCGATTACCCAATACGACACCAATGAGTTGCAAATATAGTTTATTATCACAAAGAAAATACCCATTATAAAAGATAAAATGTGAGATGTCTTTAGCATTGCCTAATGACAGTCCGTACATCTCAAAATTTATTATTTAATTAGATATGAATTCACACACATCATAGCACTGGTGCCATCTTCTGTCCTTAGAGATGGGTAGAATGCTACAACATCAAACGTAAGGAGTATTGTTCTGTTAATTACTAAGTGAAATCTATTCTTGATTCGAGATAGCAGGTTTTGTGTATTTTTCAAGAATGTTGGGACTTAATTTAATAACGCATTACAATTTTATGTACAAGTCCAGACAGAATTTCAGTGGCACTGACGTATGCTAAGACCATTGGTCTTAGTGGCATATGAGATTTGTGCTCTATACGTAAACCACATAATTCTGGAATGCAGCTATTTGAGGGATTAACTTCATGTACAAGTTTCCTGGGGAGGTTACTTGTTTTCGTAAGTTCATAAATAATTTCGTTTGCTTTCGTCTCAATGTTTCTCAGTATGTTTGTTTTAAAGCATTGAACTATCTGCTATGTCCATCGCGAGGAAACGATTCCCGGATTTAACGTTGTAAGTCCGTAAACTCACCACTGTTCCACCGGGTACAATTTTTCAGTAGGATCTCTATTAAGTGTTGGAAATTTATTATTATTTTAAGTGATCAAATATCTTTTGTTCGTAACTTTTTTGCGGTGTATAGCCTATTGTGAGGCCTTGCGTTAATACAAAGGAACAAAAAATCGTAACTTTTTATGCTCAAACCCACAATACCTTTGCATTTGTTAGATTTTGTGATGGTAGTGTTATTCTTTTTTTCAAACTTTTTAAGAGCAATTGTTCTTGGGAATGGATCTAAGAAAGTCTTGACCTGGTGATTTTTATCTGTTTGTAGAACGTTCTTGATCTTTTCCCTCACATCCGCGATTTTTGTTTCAATATCTCTATTAGCGTCGGGAGATTTTTGCTTGTTTGGTATAATAGGGTGTTTATCAAGAAATTTGGAAACTACATAATTTGTTAAAACAGTAGTTGAAGAAATTTCAGAAATGAAATTAGTGTCCGAAATTATGTTATCAGTTTCGATGTTGACTGTAGTGAGGTTAAATCGATGATATTTTGCTGCATATGATAGTTGTTTTCGCTGTTGTTAGTAGAAAAAAAGAGATTTAATTGTTTCTCTATTTCTAAGAAATGGTTTCATCGAATAGAATAAAAATTTCTTCAGAGAAAGCCAATGTGCTCAAACACACTTGGTTGTAAGTTTTAATTGTTACTGTCATTTTGTCCTTTAGCTAGCAGACACAAAGAGGAAGTCAGGGTCACCAGGTCAATTTCTACTGTTATATGTTTTTTACTGTTGATATGTCTTCTTGGTCGTTATTAACATTTCTGATGAAAGTCTCTGATTTGTTGGTTCATTCATCATATGTAACTTCTCCATTTCTTCTCAAGTCTTGAGTGATATTCTTTCTATTCTTTAGATGAGATTTCTGATTTAATGTTTGTGAAGAAACTATAAATCCTTTTTTTCGGAGATATTTGCAATTATTTGCTTTTGTTGACTTACTCTTAGATGTTCATTCTTCTTTGAAAGTAACGTTGTTATTAAATCATTCCTAATAGAATATAGAAATCTAATCAATTTCTGATTTTCCTATATACAATCTGATAATTTGAAATAATTCTGAATACCTTTAGGAACAATCTTATAATGGCGACACTTCACCAGGAAATCAATCTGAGCTGTAGTTTTTGTGAATTTAAGAGTGTGAGTTAGGGTTAGCGAGGTTGCACTTCAGGTAACATGGTCGATGTTTGAAAATTCAGTATTTAATTTCTGTAGCACATATTGGACTATAAAATACATTTAAATAATAGTAGTAAACGACCTTATAATACCTAATTATTTTCTCTTTAATTGGACACTTATCGTTTTGCTTTACAGTTTCTTCAGGAGCGTTCCACTAAAACACAAACCGTAACTGACATGTACAAATCCTCAGTTAGTTTAATAAATAGTAAATTCTAAACGACTTTGTAGCGTGCGTTTGACGTTACAATAGTAAAACTAATTGTTTAAATAATTACTTTGTTGAAAATATAACTTGTGATATATACGTGCATTGGAGAAACTGGGAGAACCCTACAAACAAGGATAGGAGAACACAGCGACTCTCTTTACAAACTACAACACGAGAGAAGCACAATCGCAGATAATTTTTTTCATATAATTATTTCAACAATTACCGTATTTTTCGGAATATAAGATCCACCGGTGTAATAACACGCACTCTTATTTTGAAGTAAAAGTTTTGGGGAAAAAACTACAGTTGCATTTGAAAGATTTTTATTGAACAAAAATTCAATTTGATACTTTAAAAAATAGTATATATATTGTTTTAAACACAAAAGAGCTCAAAACATCAAAATAAGAAAATACCGTAGATCAAAAAAGATTTACTGTTAT